TACACACCATCTGATCTTTCCATTATTCAGCCCCCACAATTGCCCCCCGAACTCCCCATTGACGGAAGTTAATCGGCGTGTTCGGTCTTGAATTGGAAAGGTTAAAATAGGTCCGGCAGCTTCGCGTACCCCAATATAGATGTCAGGATGCGCATACCTTTTCGTTCATCATTACGCTCTCCCGCCTCAACCTTTCGTCTCGCATTTATTGTGATTTGAAATTTCAGTCCGTTGGAATGCACAGTTCGTCGAGTATTCGAGACTCTTGGACCGCCAGCAGATATCCCTTCTCTGACTCGCATTCTCTGCAGCTCTTCTCCGTCTACCCTCGTACATATATTTGTCTTAGATTCAATATGTAAGTGTCAACGTGCATGTGCCCATATCTATTGAGGCGTGTTCCTGTGTCTACCAAGGGGGCAGTTCTCCTATATGCTTTGACTATACTAATGTTGTCCTTGTAATTCGTAACTTATTAGTTTTTTGTTGTACTTATTGAAATGTTGAATTTTTTGAGTTAGCTGGGAGCATGTTGCATTTGGAGTCGTTGAGCAACTTTTTGCTCAAGTACATGAATTTTGGTATTTTGTTTTGTTTGTCGTTCTGGCTTTATAGTTTGTAAGTTAGTTTATTCAAGGGTTTTAACATTGGATAATCAACTTGCTTTGGTGTAATGATTCTGAATGAATTACTATAACTGAGCGAGTTTATCTTTAGTTTGTTCTTTGGAAAGCTTCTTCAGTTTTACTGTGACACTTGTGGGAAAAGCTCATTCATTGTTTGCTTGACTTATCAATTTGCTTGAGTATACATGAGTAGTTGCTATACATGAAGACATTGTTGTAATGCTTGATTATTTATCAGGTTCAACTATTATTAATAGAATTGGTCTATGATATCTAATGAGAAAAACAGAAGAAACTGTTCTAGCATATTGATTAATATGGTTGGCTTGTTTTTTTGTGTTTTAGCAATACGGACCATTGACTTTGAGTCTTTGAGAGGTATGAGTTTGATCATCTCCCTTGTCGGCTTCCAGACAGTTCAACTTATGGGTAAATTACTACTCTACTCAAGATTCAGCCAAAAAAAATTTAAAAATTTTCTTTTTGGGACATGCAGCAATTGTTTAAAGCCTTTAAGACCTATACTTCATTTAATGTTAGGTCTTGGATCTCAAAAAAATTGTAAATAGCCATGTTTGACCATAATTATCATTGCATGGTTGATAGGGGCTCATATGCTGAACTTTTGCTACATGCTGAACTTTTGCTGTAGTGTTTCGATTTCAGTGGTTCATATGAAGAAGGGGCTCATGGTAAAGAGGTGGTAGCTGTTGGAGCTGCTTGTGCTTTCTTGCATGTGACTTTTAACATTTTACCCCTTGAGCGTGTTATGACTGTACTAGCTTATAGAACAGAGCTTGTTCCTGTAATATGGAAATTCATGAAGCGATGCCATGAGAATCAGATGTGGTCAGCATTGTCTGGGCAATTATCATATCTGCCGGGAGATGCACCTGGCTGGCTGTTACCTTTGTCAGTTTTCTGCCCTGTGTACAAGTAAGAACGCTGCTTCTATGTTCAGTTTTGATCGTAATTTTGTATTTGCCAATAAAGGACTTGATGTCATCGACATGGTTTATCTTCTTGGTAATTTACCTTCGCCGCCTTTATTTCTCATCTAGTAATGCTAAACAGTAAAATTTCACAGCAAAATGCTTCGAATATAGTGCTGTCATCACTGCTTCTCAAGTGATTTATTTGATATATGCACAACAAATCAATTGTTTGTTAATGACTAAGTGACTATTTTATATAGGTGGTCACACTGTTGGAGTTACACATTGTTCACTCTTCGAAGATCGTCTCTATAATTTTCAAAACAGTGGAAAGCCTGACCCGATCATGAATCTCGTGCTGTTAGAGATTTTGAAATCTCGATGTCCTCAAAATGCAACAATTGATAACACTACTGATCTTGATGAGAACCCTGTGAGTGCCTATGTTGTGGATAATTCTTATTACCAGCAAATACTACTAGGAAAAGGTATTCTTCAAATTTATCAAGAGTTGGCGTTGGATCCACAAACCACTGACACAGTGAAATACGCAGCAGTCGTGGGATATGATTTCCAAATCAAAATGTAAAAGCAGTCCTAGACAAAGAGTGTGGAAATAACCTCATTTGAAAATGTCATTATTCCCTATTTGTCCACATTGTAAGGTAAACCTTCCTATGTGTTCAATTGTTGACTGACTCTCCTCACCATGAAACAAGGAAAACTCAGGCACTCTGTAATTTCTAGGGAAAGGTTCTTCATCTACCTACTAAGGGTAGGGCTTGCTAAACCTAGGCCATAAAGGTCTTGAACAATTTGTATGATTTGGTCCATTTGAAAATTATCAATGTGATTAAAAGCATTTTGCCCCCCATAATCACAGTTATTCAAATTGTTTTCAAAAGGTTCTTGTCTATCAAAGTTTAAAGGAGATCCTGGTCCTTTTGACCTTGGACCATTATCTATGGATCATAACACATTTTAAGTCTACGCACTTCAGGATATGCACCAACATTTTCAAAGTTGTTGACCTTTTGATTTACATTGCCCATATTTGGAACATCTCCATACTTGACATTTTGGTTTTCAAAACTTTGACCATAATTTTAAAAAACGACATTATTTCTTGGCCTTGTATTTGGATAATTACTGAATTTTGTCTTGAACAAATTTCTGTTTTTCACACCTTTGTGACCATAAAGTGGATTAGAAAAAACATTAGGCCTAGACTACCCCCAGGCCAATTTTCTTGAGTTTTAAAATTTGGAGTTTGAAATACCACTTGAATTATTTCCTCAACAGTTGGATCCCTATAAAAGGACATTGGTTCACCAACAGACTGTTGTGGCATACCAGTTGGTGGCACCAGGTGTGCACCTCCTGTATTTGAAGAAACCTTCTGTGCTTTTACCTCACTTTGATTTGAATAGTCCATCAATGGAACTTTTAACTCACTCCTTACTTCTCCTAGAAAGATTTGGTTCTCCTCCAGTGACTGGTTTGCCAACGTCTCCCTCAACTGAGCCACCAAAACTCCTATGGAAATTTTAGCAACTGTGTAATTGATTCAAATACCTCAAAGGAATGAGGATTTCTCTAGAGCAACTGACTGTCATAAGGTAAACAAGATAAACAAAATAAAGTAATTTCACATGTGAAACTACTAAAGTTCACAAAGTACAGTAATGAATTACTCCTATTTCGAAAGAGAAACTACTCCTAAGTTATTGTTGATGCCTCATTCCCTCTTCATTCTCTAGCCTTATAGCCTTTCTTCTTTCTCTGAACCATGATCCCATGAGCCTTCAAGTCTGCAACTATTGCTGCATAACTGTTGTAACTGCCCTTTACTTCCAAGGACTCAAACTCCATAAATTCTTCAATCTTACCTGTCGAATTGCATGATGCCATGTATCCATCATCACTTTCAGCCTTCTCTCGATAGAGGGAACCCCCTATTTCATGCATGATTCCTCTTGCAAGTAGCCTACCAAACCCATGACTTAAATAATTGCTCCATCATCTAGGCGACTTCGGACATAAAATCAGCCCTTTGTGTGACACCTGTCCCTTAACTAATACGAGACCTTCACTTGGACCCTGCTACATGTCATCACCTGATTAACCCACTTGTTGATAGGACCGGCCCTGGGCTAAGGCTAGTGAGACCTGTCCTAGGGCCTCGAAAATTAGGCCCAAAAAAAGACTCCCAAATTCATTATCTTGTATTTTATTAAAAATTCAAAATGGCCCAATTCTGTTTAATTAATTTAGGTCATTTTAAAATGCCTCAAAGTTCTACGCGGTCCAATTGATAAAAAGCCCAGTTAAAAAATATTTAAAAGTGTTAGTTGTTAGCCCAATTAAAAAAATAAAATATATGTATATGTATTAGTCATTAGCCTAATTCTGTGTGGCCTCTTTTTTTCTTCTTCTCTCTTTTTATGGCCAATTATGTGTTTTTTAGTATTTTTTAAAATATTTTACGCAATTTTTAGTAATTATTTAGTTGATACATCTAATTTAGATATACTTAAAAATTATAATATTTGTGCTTTTTTAAAAAATAAAAATAAAAAAATTTGCCAAATACAAAAAATATAAAAAAATACGAATTGCAAATTCAGATAATTATTTTTGAAAACTCTAAACCAAATAGGGTGATTTTTATTTTTATTTTTATTTTTTATGAATATCGAAAAGGCTCCCGAAAAATTATTTCATCTTAGGTCTCCAAAAACTCAGGGTTGGCCCTACCTGTCGACAACGATTTTGACAAAAATGTATACAAATAGATTGTAATGGAGGATCCCCATTATAATTTAGGTCATTTGAAAGTTTTTAAATAATCATAAGAATTCATTATTATTTTAAATTTATATTGAATCATCACACATTATTGAATAATGTAATGGAGATCCTCTATTATAATTTTGAATCGAAGAGCATCACAATCCATTTCGGACAGCTGTACGCCATTTGATTCCCAAATATATATATATATATATAAATAAAAATAAAAACCCACAAAATGTGGACTTTCTTACACCACAGTAGTGCACGTTCTATGCAAAACCATCGTGCTCTCCATTCAACCTGGAAGACACAAAGAGCATGTTTGATTGGAAGGATTAAAGTATGGGATTATGATTATTAATCCGTGGGCCCAATCATCCTATGTTTGTTTTGACATTTTGATTTAGGACTATTAATCCAATGGATAATTAATCCAACAAATTTGTAGGATTATTAGTAATGGGGTAGGGGTGGGATAGTTAATACCACACTAATTTGATTGGATTATTAATACCTCACTATTAGTATTGTGAATCAAACATGGCCATTGTTAAAAAAGAACAATTTTTATTGCTTTCCTTTGCCCTATAAATAGGAGTGAAAGCTTTAATTTATTTCACACCAAACCAATATTCAACACAAATTAAGAACAAATTTTCAATTCTTTTTTTTGGGAAAAATGTTGAAGGCAGGTTTAGTGGCATTAGCCCTTGGGCTCATCATCTTCATCAACTTCACAGGCCAGTGCCACGGTGATGGTGCATTGCAGTTCAGGTTCGGTTTCTACAATGGAAAATGTAATGGTGAAGACGTTGAGGCTATTGTACGCGGTGTCATTCAGGAATCGTACATGAAGGATCCTACACTTGTTGCCGCTCTCGTTCGCATGCAGTTCCATGATTGCTTTGTCACTGTAAGCAAATCTTTTCAAAAAATCTATAGAAGAATTTTACAGAATTTTTGTAACTAAACCTTATTTCATGAGAAACGTAGGAAAAATTATTCAATGTTCCATGTGACAATGTTCTAAATGCAATGAATAATGAGGTAAAGTGCACATAAGATCACGGACGGAACTAGGATTTCATCACTGTAGGAGACCAAAAGACAAATAAAAAAAATTCACCATATATATATATACATGCATGTATGTACAATATGATATATAAATTATGTATATACAAAAAAAAATCAAATATCATAGAAATAATTTCTAATAGGATGAATTTTTTGGTGCGAAATAAAAAGAAAAAACAAGATAAGAGAAAAATGAGATATGTATTTTTTATATTGGGGGCCATTTTATGTATAAAATGAGATATAATTTTAAAATGTTATGCCAAATCATATTTTTCACAGAAATTGGGAGGTCATGGCTCTGTATCCTCTTCTCCTAGTTCTGTCCCTGCATAAGATACAAGGGGATGTTGGTCACAGACAATTTTGTGTCGAGTATGTGTATTTTTTCAATGTCCATAGCGATTTTTTTTTTGGAGAAATTACAGTTTAGTTGAGATTTTAAAAAATAATTATGAATAAGTAATAAATTTTATAAATATTAATAATTAAAATCGTAAATTTTATAATTTAATAATTTATAAAATTACCATTGAATAGTAATTTTTTATTTTTATTTTTTGTGTGTGTGTGGTTCCATAGAATTAATGTTGAGTTTGAGAATTATGACAACAATTAAGCAATTTTTCATTTGACAACATAAAACATGATAACTACAACTTAAAACCTTCCCATACATTGTCATGCCATGCAGTGACAACATAAAACATCATAACTACAAGTTAATATATTGTAGATGTTCAATTTGAATTTTGTTACACTAACTTTTATTTATTATTTATTTCTGAGAAAAGATAGGGATCATGAAAAAACTTTCATGAAACTGATCATGAAAAATTTATGACCCTTGGATTACCTTGATTAGTGTGTGGTGTTTTATTTTAAGTGTAATCCAAAGGTCATAAATTTTTCATGATCATTTTCATGAAAGTTTTTTCATAATACCTAGCAATTTTTTTATTTTATTTTTGTGTGTGTGTGGTTCCATAGAATTAATGTTGAGTTTGAGAATTATGACAACAATTAAGCAATTTTTCATTTGACAACATAAAACATCATAACTACAACTTAAAACATTCCCATACACTGTCATGCCATGCATTGACAACATAAAACATCATAACTACAAGTTAATATATTGTAGATGTTCAATTTGAATTTTGTTACACTAACTTTTATTTATTATTTATTTATTTGGGTTGAAACAATGAAAAGGGATGTGATGCATCAATCCTACTAGATGGGAGCAACAGTGAGAAAACTGCATTTCCTAATCTAAGTGTAAGGGGGTTTGACATTATTGATGCAGCAAAAGCTGCTGTTGAGGCAGTGTGTCCTGGAGTAGTTTCATGTGCTGATATCATTGTTATGGCTGCCAGAGATGTAGTGTCTTTGGTGAGTAATGTGTCCCTTCTCTCTCTCTCTCTCTACTATTACCCAACATATAATGATGTGATAACTTACAATGGTGGTATATATTGGGATGGGTACATGTAGGCTGGAGGAAATAGATATGCGGTGCAAACAGGGCGAAGAGACGGTCTTGTATCTCTAGCTCAAAATGTGGATCTCCCAGCTCCTTTTATATCCGTGTCTGATTCCATCAAGGCATTTGCCAATAAAGGACTTGGTGTCGTCGACATGGTTTATCTTCTTGGTAATTTACCTTCGCCACCTTTATTTCTCATCTAGTAATGCTAAACAGTAAAATTTCACAGCAAAATGCTTAAAATATAGTGCTGTCATCACTGCTTTCTGAAGTGATTTATTTGATATATGCATGATAAATCAATTGTTTGTTAATGACTAAGTGACTATTTTACATAGGTGGTCACACTGTTGGAGTTGCACATTGTTCACTCTTCGAAGATCGTCTCTATAATTTTCAAAACAGTGGAAAGCCTGACCCGACCATGAACCTCGTGCTCTTAGAGATGTTGAAATCTCGGTGTCCTCAAAAAGCAAGAGTTGATAACACTGCTGATCTTGATGAGAACCCTGTGAGTGCCTATGTTGTGGATAATTCTTATTACCAGCAAATACTACTAGGAAGAGGTATTCTTCAAATTGATCAAGAGTTGGCATTGGATCCACGAACCACTGACACAGTGAAATATGCAGCAGTCGTGGGATATGATTTCCAAATCAAATTTGCTCAAGCCATGGTGAAGTTGGGTGCAGTCCAAGTTATTAATGGCACACAAGGGGAGATAAGGACTTCGTGCCGAGTTGTCAATAACTCACAAAAATAAAATGCTTCTTATAAAGAAGTTAAACTATATTTCTTGATTTCCATTTATTTATTTTCTCATTCTCAGTTAATGACACGAAATATCTCTAGAGAAATAGAATAAAATTACGCACATATTACCATTTTCAAACCCCACTACATATCCTTTCATTCAAACTACTTGGGGTCTAAGTCAGAACAGTGTGTTCTTCCACTGTTTCTGTTCTCTCTCTCTCTCTCTCTCCTTATGTTTTTCTTTAAATTTGAGTTCCATAATTTTGCATTTTGGAGTTCATGTTGATCAGATTTGAATTGTAAGGAATGATTAATAAAATTATGTTTCTGTCCAAGTCAATGAATTGTAAGGAGTGATTACAATTTGGTATTGCTTTTCATTAAGATGGCATGTAGATCTATCATGTGCTGCGATATTGAAAAACAAATTCGAAGTCTTATGATTTTCTGTGTGTGTCAATTTCCGACCACACTGCCAAACTAGCACTCAGTTGTACAATACCGACAGAATAAATTAAGCCCGAACAACTTGTCACAGAAAGGGAAGAATCCCGCGGTGGTTCGTCCACCCGGGGGCACTCCGACGATCAAGTCAGTAAAATATCTCTCAAAGATAACCAATAGTACTTAACTCACTAGACAACGCATAAAAGACATACCTTAGACCCATGAGGGTGCTTCTCTTTTATAACCAACATAATCCTAGTCTCAATAGAAGCCTAGCTCCAATGGACTTAGGATTACTGCTAATCTTGAACTCCCAGTAGGATTAGGATAAACCCTCTAAGAGTCTTATCTTTACCCAAACTGAAGTCTTCTCCCATTCTAGGACTCTTGTTCCTTATCCACTTATCCCGGATTCCGATATTCTCGCAGATAACCTCGGCCTAGCCGAGATCATCTCAGCATCATGACCAGGACACGTGACACCTCGGCTGACACTTCGGTGTCGCCTCGGCCACGTGTTGTCATTAAAAAATTATGTCCCCACAACTGCCCCCTAGGTTCTATTACCTCGGCATCTTGAGGTGATGGAACCTATATCATTTCTTCCATTTAGCACGTCGGCTAAGCTCGCTTTATCATCTATTGCCGAAGTCAGAACTTGTCGGCTCAATGTGACCAAGACCTATAGTTTGCTTTTATAAATGCTTTAGAACCAATGACCAAGTTCGTTCAAGTTTCTCAATCGAAATCGTCCTCCTAGCCAAGGCATTTGCTTCATTGAATCAAGAACTCCAAGAGTTCCAGCATGCGTATGAGCTGGTACGCACAGTATTTCAACCGTTTTTCACCATGTGTCTTTCCCTTACTGGACCGGATATGATACGTGCCATCAAGTCGCATCATTTTTGCACACGCCGTTGGACAAGCACGTCGTCCAAGGCACCATGATTGCCATTTTTCATGTTTTTGATCAAAATCAAAAAAAATTTCTCTCAAATCCTTCATTGCTGCGTTCGTTGCACTTCTTTGCTCATTACCACCGTCTGACACCGGCGTACTTCACACCAGCCTTTTTGTTATCTAAACAATCATTCTTCAATGTTAGGCCGAAGTGCCTTCTTTCCTTTTCTGAATGCATTCTTTAATTTCTTCTTTCAACGTGGTCGTATGTGTCTTCTTTTTACTCTTGTACGATTTTATATTAAAAATAATTTGCATATCTTTAATATACACTGCAATCTTTGTGCAACCTTCTCGAGGTGACACACCTCGGTTATACAAACTGATGATTTACCTCGGCAAGTACCCAAGTACCTTTCTTAGCATAACCATGGTTTCAGCTTGTAAATTTTTTCAAAAAACTTCAACAAGTGTTTAACCTTAGTCTCTGTTTAACTTCAACTTGTAAACTTTTCTCAAGTTTCAACAAGTGTTAAACATAATCTCGGTTTAACTTCAACTTGTAAACTTTTCAAGTTTCAACAAGTGTTAAACATAATCTCAGTTTAACTTCAACTTGTAAACTTTTCTCAAGTTTAAACAAGTGTTAAACATAATCTCGGCTTGTGAAATTCCAACTCCTAAACATCATTCTTCAGCCCTTTGCCCCCTAATCTGAACCTAAGTTCCACTTGAGTTCTCATTAGGCACGTGGCTTTGACCTTGATATTGCTCTATGGGCAGGGGATCTGCCCCTTGCATGGCTTCCACATACTCCTTTGTGGAAAAAATTCTTTAACTTAGGCCAGGCTCTTCTCTTCTCGGACTTAATCATCTAAGCCGAGATCTTGTCTTCTGGGATTTAGGATTCCAGATCTGGAATCTGGGATCTGCTCACTTGGGCTAAGCTCTTGTCTTCTCGTGTCCAGTATTATCTTAGCTTTGCTTCGATGAACCATTTCTCTTCTCTTGTTTGGACGCCTTTGTCACCGACGTGTCTTCCTCGGCTCTGGCATACTTTTCTATCCTGGCCATCAGCTCCTTCATGCTTTTCGACAATGTCTTTGCCAGTGATTTTCGAAGCAGGCAGTCATCCTTCAAGCCGTTTTTAAACGACATGACCGCCACCTCTTGGTTGCATCCCGGTATTCGGTTGAATACCTCATAATACCTTTTGGCATAGGCTCTACGGCTTTCATCCTCGCCGATCTTCAGGGCCATTAGGGCATCTACCCTCAATGGCTATAGTTTGTTTGTCACGAACCTGGCCACAAACATCTCGGCCAGGCCTTCCCAGGTTTTCACAATTCCTTTCGGCAACTTGTGAAACCAGTTCGATGCAATTTCCTCGAATGATGAGGGGAACACTTTGCAGAGCAACGGCTTGTTCCTAGTGTATAACGCTATCGCGTTTAGGTATAATCCGACGTGAAAGTTGGGGTCTGACTTCCCATCGTATATCTGGAACCTCGGCATACTGAATCTCTTCGGGACCTCAACTTTGTCTAATTCTTCCGAGAATGGCGTTCTCGGTTTGACCGGGGAGGTTACCTCGGCATCTTGTTACTTCCTCTATAGGTGATCTCCCAGATCCTTTTTGGTTCGTCCAAGGGCTCGGTTATCTCCGGATTTCAGCCTCTTCGGTACACCACTTCTGGTGTCATCGTGAGTCCTTTTGGACCCCCCTCCACTAGTCGTGTCGAAATAAAGTTCCTTCCCCTGAACATCCCGATGTTCTTTGGTGCATGTTTCTTTTGTTCAACGTGCCTTCTGGGATTCTCCATGCCCGACCTCCCACGAAGGCTGGTGAGAATGTCCCTTGGTCCCGCCATGCTGAGGGACTGCAGGAACCGTTTTCTGCCCCCCTTTCTGGGCACCTTTCTTAGCCGCTGGAATCGGCGTATCTTATAGCAGGAACGGTGGCTGCATGACGTTGTTCTGCATCATGAAATTGATGACCGTTTGCAAGTCTTCCAATTTGTCCGCTATTCCCTTTATCTCGTCATCCCTCCGTAGGCATCTATCTTTCCATACTTGGAGGTCGTCCTTGTTATAATACCCGCTCCAGTCCGATTTCTTCGGTACGCTGCCCTCCTAGCCGACATCCTTTCCTCCGTGATTCTTATCACGAGTCTCTTCGTTGCAGTTGTCTTCTTCGACGTCAAGGTCAATATGTTTCCTACTCTCAGTAGGGGTGTCGTCTCCAACCTTTTCTTTCTATCCGTTGTTGGCCATCTATTCTCCTTTCGTTCCTACAGACGGCGCCAAATTGTGTGTCAATTTCCGACTACACTGCCAAACTAGTACTCAGTTGTACAACACCGGCAGAATAGATTAAGCTCGAACAACCTGTCACAGAAAGAGAAGAATCCCGCGGTGGTTCGTCCATCCGGGGCCATTCGAACGATCAAGTCAGTAAAATATCTCTCAAAGATAACCAATAGTACTTAACTCACTAGACAAAGCATAAAAGACATACCTTAGACCCATGAAGGTGTCTCTCTTTTATAGACAACATAATCCTTGTCCCAATAGAAACCTAGCTCCAATGGACTTAGGATTACTGCTAATCTTGGACTCCCAATAGGATTAGGATAAACCCTCTAAGAGTCTTATCTTTACCCAAACTGAAGTCTTCTCCCATTCTATGACTCTTGTCCCTTATCCGCTTATCCCGGATTTCGGTATTCTCACAGATAACCTCGGCCTAGCCGAGATCATCTCAACATCATGACCAGGACACATGACTCCTCGGCTGACACTTCGGTGTCACCTTGGCCACGTGTTGTCATTCAAAAATTATGTCCCCACATATTTTGTCCACAGGCCCACTTGTTCCCATTTCGTGATTTAAAAGATTTTATTGGGTTTTTCTGTGGGTAGATCAACAATGACAATATTAAATTGATATAATAATTATATGATTTTATTATATTTGCTTTTAAAAAATGAATAATAAATATAACTTTTTTTTTTTGGGTTGCAAGTACGCTATATTTTTTAAGATAAAAATAATAATAATCTATTAGCAGAACAATATAGTTTTTATTTTTATTTTTTATTTTTTTATTTTATAAATAATTTACACAGTAAGAACAAGAATGAAACGTTTAACTTACCACTAATGATGAGTTTTACGGACCAACTGCATTGTCCAATTCATAGGTCAAATCTTAATTTTAAAGTTTTAGACTGATGGTGGGAGTGGGGTGCAAACCACTGTTAGTGATTCACAATGAGAGTATTAACACTGAACCAAACTGAAATTAAATTCACTCAAAATAATTCTAAAAATACAGAGCATGAAGTACAATTTTTTCTCTTTTATTTTTTTTTTCCCATACTCATATCACTCCGATACATTAGCTATTTATAGATAAACTAGCAGTGTGAATGCATTTAATGCAAATACAGCTATCAGTGTGAATGCATTAAATGTTATGCCTACAAATGTTGAAGCAATCTCTGAGCACAAATTTGTTTTGGTGGCTGTCAAGCTTATTTTCCAACATCCCCCCTTAAGCTTGATTCTCCATGCGGCTGTATCCCAAGCATTATCTTCATCATGTTGAACAGATCATTTTTCAATGGCTTCGTGAAAATATCTGCAAGCTGATCTTGAGATTTGCAAAGAAATAATTCCACCTCTTTATTTTTCACATGCTCTCGGATAAAATGATAGCGGGTGTCAATATGCTTACTTCTTTCATGATAAACTGGGTTCTTTGCCAATGCAATTGCTGATCGATTA